ACTTCATCCAAAAAATATTGACCAAGACTTTCACATAATTTAGAGAATACACCATGTTTACAAGTATTTGGTACATCCTCTCCCATATATATAACACGGAATGAAGTAAGTGATGAAATGTTTTTTCGTTTAAAGTCGCGAACTTTGGCTATCCTCTGAGAAGGGGTATCAGCTTTATTACCCTCTATTAATTTTCCAGTGTAATCACTTGATTCAGATGAGGTAGTAGACAAATCATCATCTTTTTTATCAATATTTGATTATTAAAAATATTGTATAAATATTTTGTTAAATGTTATGTAAAATTTTAAAAAATAATTTTATAATCTTTACCTGATGATAAATTATCATCATCCTCCTCGTCAATAAAACTTTTTTGAATTATTTTATTTTCAACAGGATTAACAATCTCATACGATTTATCCAAATCTGGAGTAAAATTTGGTAAAGAATTAGAAGTTTTCATATGACACTTGTTTGTTTTTGATAAGAGATATATATATATATGAATGATTTGTTAAAGAAAGCTTATTTATTTTTGTATTATTTTTATCCCTTCCTTAAATGTTTGTTATCATCTATTTAAAGAATTTGTAATAGAAATTTGATTGTATCAAAAATGCGATGATTATTTGTGATATACAGTCATACCTCTTTTATATCCCCCATTTTGTATTAGTGCTTTTGTGGGATATAACTGAGGTGGGATATATCTCAAGCAGTTGATCATTTCATGACTTTTAATTTAAAAATAAAATTTTTATTCAATATTAATATCAACAAATTCTGTCAACAAGGATTGATGTTTTGCTTTATCTACAGAACTATTTAAATATTTTATTAATTCACTGACATACTTAACATCTTTTTTGTGGCAAATTCTTGATGTTCTAAGAATCTTTTTGCGGTTTCAAATGTTTTTCTTCCTCCTTCTATAGAAATAATAGATTCCAGTTTTATGAATTTATAAATTTTATTGGGATTTTATTTTATTATTCAATTCTTAGGATAAAAGAATGTGTACATATTATGCCTAAGTCAAAACCAAGTTTTTATACACATAAAAAAGATACTTTGCCACAACTGTGAAAAAAAGGATATTTTTTTATTGTTAAAAGAAATCAGCCATGTCTTTGTTGTTAAAGGAATCAACCAAGTCTCCACCAAAAAAAAAAAATTGATAATTATTTCTTTGTTGTTAAAGGAATCAACCAACTCACCACCAAAAAAAAGAGATTAATTTATAATTAATTTCTTTGTTATTTGTTAAAGGAAACAACCAACTCACCACTAAAGAAAAAAGAATAATTGATGATTAATTTCTTTGTTAAAGAAATCAAAATGATCCAAAAAAATTTATTGTAAACATTAGGTTACACTTGTATATCATTTACAAATAAGGTTACAATGGAGATATAACGGAGCCAAAAAATTGGGGATAGAAATATAATAATAACTCAATGGAATATAAACGAGCATAATGGACATTTGTTTATCACATAGTATTATACCGAGATCTAACTATTAAATTCGTTATATTGATATCTGGACATCAAAACTGGCGAACAGATCGAATATTCGGATATCGTCAAATATCCGATGGATATTATCACTATGGGTGCCTGATGTAAGATAACGATACTCATCATATATTTTACCTTTAAATCCTTTGTTAGGTAGTTTGTCTACCTCATCCAATACGAGCATTTTGATGTGATTGTGACGATGGATCTAGATTTTCACAAATTATTTTATTAAAATAAGTGAATAAATAATTGATGCTTTAAGAAATTTCATGATACAACATATTAACCATAATTAAGTTACGAATATCTTCTCCAAAGCTAGTTCCATCAACATAGTCACAACATTGTATATTCATATAATCACCAAGTGCCAATATTACACCTTGAATTTAAGTTGCTAATTCTCTTGAGTTTCTATAATTGGAATATTAGCTCTTTGTTGAATAGTTAATTGTTCTCAAAATCTTAAGACAAAAGATCAAGAGACTTAATATGTGCGTAGATGCCTCTCAAAAGATATCTTCCTTTAACCTATAGAATCAAATGTGGGTACCCTATTATAGTAGAAATTGCAAGGAAAGGCGAGTTTTTTAAAAAATAGGACCTTGAGACTGCTTATTATAAGTAGTATGCTATAATAAAAAAAAAATTCCACTTTAACATCCTTGCTGGTCCAAAAGTTAACTTTTCATCAGCTTCACAAGATCAAACTTGAAATTATTTTATCAATTGGCTATTTTTTAAAATTATCGAAGATGTCACATTGGGTAATTAATTATATATCACGTTTCCTTAAATTCTGTGACAATCTCGAATCAATTCAAATAAACAACAATAATGCAAAGTAAAATTTTGATTCGAGAAAATCCTAGATCTCTAGTTCTTATACAATCCAAAACTTCAGAAAATTATCTTTCTTCAGATAACATTGCATTATTATTTGAGCCGATACCAGGAAATTATAATGTCAACGTACCAAAATGCAAAGTTCAATTAATATCTAATTCAGAATTTGATTTACATCGGTATCGACTTTTTAACACAAAGCCTATGTATGGCTGCCTTGGCCTGATAGAAGTTGAAAAAGGTAACTTTTTTTTTTGCATTACTTTGCTAGCAAATGATTTAAAAAGAAAAAAAGAAAATAGATTCTATAAAAGTACTTTTAGATATATTTTTAGGAGTTGTGACAGACTGCAAACATATTGGCCGAATACGACCAGGCGAATCTGTTCATCGTATTATAGATGTAGAGTTTTATTCCTTAACAAATAATTCATGGGACTATTCTTCGACAACATATAGTAATTCAAGTCGATTACATGATGAAGATAATTCATCTTCTGTTTCTGTTCATCCATGCAATCAATTAAGAAAATTACTTTCGAATGGCCATTTTTATTTTTCATCGAATTTTGATTTGACGAGGACTTTGACAGTGAGGTGTGTGTGTATAGATATTAAATTAATTGATACCAAGTAATATATTTTATCTATTTATTTGTTTCTGACAAATGATGTTGTATAATTAGAGCAAGTATGTCTAAAGCTGATAAATACTCGTATGATAGCCATTTTCTATGGAATAAATTTATGATAAAAGAATTGTTAAATTATCGCTCTAAACTTAGTGATCCTGAACAAATTGCGATGGATAATAGCGGATTTTTGGTATTTAACTTTTATTTCATCTAGAACCTAAAAGATTAAATATAAATACTAATCAAATAAATGATAAAATATTAGGTTCTTGCAATTCATGGATATATTGGTAGACAAGATGTGACTGTTGGTACAAACAATGCTTCTTTGTCTGTTATTTCCAAATTAAGCTGTAAGAGAGCTGGTAGGTTTTCTATACTTTTAAATTAATAAATATATACCATCATCTATATTGAAAAATCATAATTTAATTATTTCATGGCTATTTATATGTATTAGGAACTAGATATAACACTCGTGGAATTGATGATGATGGAAATGTTGCGAATTTCGTAGAGGTATTTTTTTTTAAAATAATTTTCAATTAATATTAAAATATTTGTTTATTACAGATTTAAAAAATATGCATCTATTTAAATTAATAGACGGAAACAATTTTACAATTACCACATCGTTGCTTTTCTTACACACAAATTCGTGGCAGTGTTCCATGTAAGGATTGAAATCTCCCACTCTTTTTTTTTGGTGACTTTTAATTATAATTTATATAATTTGTAATTCAATTTATCTAACTTTTTTAATTTTAAGTATTTTGGGAGCAACAAGTAAGTTTTAGTTTATAGTAATTCCTATATACAATTCTTTATTGAATATTTCCATGGTATTTTAATAGGGAATTCAAGTCATGAGTCATAAGATCCAAATATCACGTGGACCAGCAGCAACGTTACCAGCAGTTGAACGACATTTTAATGAGTTACAAAGTAGATATGGTGAAGTTTATATACTTAACCTACTTAGTCAACTCAAAGATGGCGAATTTCTATTATGTAATGAATATCAGGATCGAACAAATGATTTAAATAAACACGGATACATTTATCAATTTTTTTCTTTTGACTTTCATGCCATTTGTGGGAATTCAAATTATGAGAATTTGTCAATACTAATTCGAGATATTGGAAAAAATTTGGAATCGACTGGTTTTTTTTTGTTGGATATAGAAACAAGCTCACCAATATTTTATCAAAAAGGTGTTTTTCGAACTAACTGTGTGGATTGGTAAAGTCAATAATTAAAGTCATTTTTTAATATAAATATTGATTTTTTGTTAATATAAATATTGATTTTTATTTTTCATCATTCAATAAAATTTCAAGTTTGGATAGGTAATTCTAACATATTGGTTATATATTATTTATCGAATTCCGAGAATTTTTAATTTAATTTAATAATCTGGGGTTTTATAGAACAAATATTGTACAAACAGTTATATCAAAAACTGTATTAAGCACGTATCTTCATGAGATAGAATGTGTCACTCATAGCCTAGAATCGTTGAATTCTAGGCATTCACATTTATGGGCAGAAAATGGCGATAGTCTGTCAAAGATTTATGCTGGCACGGGTGCATTGAAATCTGAATATACACGTAGCGGGAAACTCACTTGGTCGGGTTAGTATGAAGGAGATGTTTTATTCGCGTAAAAGGAAATATTATTAAGAACATGCATGTAATTATTTAGGCGTTATTGGAGACGCTACGAAAACGGTCAATCGCTTTTATATAAATAATTTTCAGGATAAATTTAAACAAGAAGCCATAGATTTATTACTCGTAATTATTAAATATCAACTTATTATTATTTTATTGTTATTTACTTTTTTATTTTTAAAAAATTTTTATGTAATTATATCAGAGTTCAAAAATCTTTTGTATTTTGCATTACTTTATATATTAGATTGTTTGTAACGAAAAATTTATAATTTAATTTAATAGGGCAAACAATTAAATCAAAATCAAATTATGATTTATGATCCTGTAAACGAATTGGTTCTTGAAGACATTCAAAAAAGGTTTAAAAAAATTGTATATATTATTGTTTCTTTAAAAAATTATATTATTTTTTAATTAAAAGTTATAATTTTTTTCTTAAGGTTAAATGATTTTTCAACAAAAACAACAATAAATGTTTTTGTTGGAACATATAATCTTAATGGTGTTTCACCTTTGGGTGAATCTCTTACACCCTGGCTCTTTGCTTTTGATGATTGTAAGTGAGCGAAAGTTTCGGCTTTAAAAAAATATTGTTATTTAAATCATTATTTTTAAAAATATAATTATTCTAGATGAGCAAGATCCACATCTGTATGTAATTGGGTTTCAGGAAATCGTAGAGTTAAAACCTCAACAGGTAAAATTTTACGTTTTATTTTATTATAATATTAAATTTTTATTTTTATTTATTCATACTTGGGGGTTTTTTTTTGCATTTCAAGATCGTTTCTACAGATCCAGAAAAATTGTAAGTAAAATAATGTTTAGTAATTTCATACATGCATAATTATTTATTCTTTTATGACCCACCTTAGCCGTATCTGGGAGCGTGAAATAAGTAGAACACTCAATGGTCGTCACGGAAATCATTCCAATTATGTGATTTTGCGTTCAGATCAATTGGTTGGTACTGCATTAGTTATTTATGCAAGAGCTGATGTGGTTTCCAATATAAGGAATGTTGAATGTGTCATGAAAAAGGTGATTTATTATTCGTTCTAAAATTATTATTATTATTTGTTAGATTCTTATTAAAAATTTTATTGATTAGACTGGATTGGGCGGGATGGCAGGAAACAAGGGCGCTGTGGCCATTAGCTTTAATTATTTTGATACAAGCCTTTGTTTTGTAACAGCGCATTTTGCATCTGGTAGTTGAAGTTTTTTTGATTTAATATTTTAGAAAATATATTTATTATTGATTTATCTTTTAGGTCATACTAATTATGAAGAAAGAAATAAAGAATATCAAACTATTCATGATGGTTTAACTTTTAGAAATGGTCGACGACTTGAACATTTTGAGTAAGTATATTAAATTATTGTTAAATTAATGGTTAATTTACTTATGTAATTTTATAACCAGATATGTGGTTTGGTTGGGTGATTTTAATTATCGGATATCTTTAACAAATGAACAGGTGAAATATATTTCTACATTTTTTGATAGACTTTTTATTTTCTAATAACAGTAACAATAATAGTAATAATTATTATCATTAAGGTTCGAGCTTTTCTAGAAGATGAAAATCTTGATGCATTATTAAATGCTGAACAGGTAATTATGTTTATTATCATTATTGTATTGTAATCTTCTCGATTATTCTGGATTTAGTAAAATATTCACTTATTTAAAGTTGACCAAACAAATTGAACGGGGGCAAGCTTTTACTGATTATATTGAAAATCCTATTACATTTTTCCCAACATATAAATATGATAATGGAACAGATATGTATGATACAAGGTAATTTTAAGAATATAGATATGTCTATTTGTATGTCATTTTGTATGTCCATGGAATTAAGATTGATTTAAATATTCTTGACAGTGAAAAAGCAAGGGTTCCAGCATGGACAGGTAGGTTCAAAAGGTTATTTTTGGGATTATTTGAAATTATTATTAATATATTTATATTTATTTATTTATTTATTTAAATAACAAGATCGTATATTATATCGAGGAAATAGAGTAATAATATTTATAATTTATAATTTTATTATTGGAAACAATTTTAATTAGATTTATTATTTACTGAACTGTATAAATAAATATCCCAGATAAAACAGTTTGGTTATTGTAGAGCTGAAATAAAGGCTTCAGATCATAGACCGGGTAATTAAAAAAATTTTTTAAAAAGTCTTTTTGTTAATAATTAGCTAATACTTTCTTATTAAACTTTAATTTAGTTATGGCATTTTTTGATATTGAGGTAATTGTGGTTTATTGATTGATTTTTTGATTTTATTGCTTAATTAAATTCCATAGCTATAATTATTATTGTAGATAATTAAATATGACAGAGCAGCTAAAGAAAAAATTCATAGAGAAATATATTTAGAAAAGCTACAAATTGTGTCTCAAGACAATAATAAATTTTCTTATTATTCAAATGTCACTGAAATAGAACAAAATGGAAAACAACATTGGGATAAATTGGCAAAATCAATAAGAAAAGTTAATGACACACCATTAACTACTGATGATGAAATCATAGCAAAATTAGCAAAGTCAAGAGAAGCCGAGAATCAAAATGCACCTGTTGGTATATTGATTGATTTTGAAGACGAAGGTGCCAAAGAAAAATCAGCTGAAAATTGTTTGTATATAAATTTATAATATGGATTCATTAATAAATAAATAATTTCTATTAATCTTTTTTTTTCTTTTTTAGTGCCCCCGCCAAGTTCAGAACATCATCAGTGGTGGACTGTTCCAATCGGTAAATCAAAAAATAATTAGAAAGTCTTTTGAATTTATTTCATATTAACAATTTTTATCACTGACTTTTATTTAGTTGGAACACACACAACAGCTTTATCACCAGTTAAAATTGATAAAAGTACAATTAATCACGATTTTCGGAAGTATTCAAATAATCCATTTTATGACACATTGGTAAACCCAATGATGACAGACTTTTCTGAACAACCACTTGTATCTTTACCATCTACAAAATCAACAATTCAAGGTAATATTCTTTAATTATTATAATTCTTTAACTATTTTGATTTTATTAATATTTCTTCTAATTTTTTCCAGAATTTAACAAGCCGAAAAAAAAAATAAACCCATTTTTTGAGATTGATTATGAACTTGACGATGATAAAACCAATAATAATGATCAATTAATCGATGTTCCGTTTGATTCATCGGAACAATCAAAACCGGGTAGGTGATAAATAAACATCTTGATTATGATTAATTTTTATTTAATTCAATTTTTATTAAAATATATGTTTTAATAAGATGTCAATTCACACAATGATTGGATTCCATTAATTCCAACTAAAATCAATCGTGGTGATGATAGTAATTAATTTAATTTAAACTGTTATATAGACTGTACAGTATTTATTTATTTATTGGCACATATGCCAATTATCATCAAATTTTTAAATTGCTATTTATTCATTATAATTATTGTCATTATGATTAGTTCATTACATATTCCGATTTCTGCGGCATTCTGCACTATGCAGAAAATCACCGTCCTGTAGTAGTAGTAGTTTTATCTAAAATCTTGTTATAAATTGAGAAACTTCTTTCTATGCTGCATTTAGATATGGGCAACCATTAAGTTTTGTTGTATGTTAACATGAGATACATGAGATAGCAAAGCCGTGTTAAGTTTGGATAAAGAATAATTTTATTAAATGATGATAGTGCGAATTTATTAAATTAATTACAATGACTTTTATATCCACACTACCACTACTATAATACCACTATTAGTAAATGGCATGTGTTAAATTGGCAAGTATCATATTAATTAATTAGTCAAAAGGAATCTTTTAATAGTATAAAATAACAAGTTTTGTAATCGAGGATGTGCAAGTGAGCAGGAGAGACCATTCTATATTTCCCGTACTTGTTGATTTTGTTTCCCGAAATTTGAAATCTTTATCTGACTATCTTCAAGCTATAGCACCATTTGTTGAATTATCTGAACTTCAAGAATATTTAAATAAAGTATGCCATGCCAGTTCCAGCTGATTTTCCTGGTCAATATTATGTTCATAAAGCTATTACTTTAAAAAGATTATATGGTGATGATATAGATATTCCCTAATCAAATACTTCATCTAGTACCTTTTTAGGACCTTTACATGTATCATTAAATACTAGAGAATCAATAAAATTATATCACCCATTTTTCAATTTATTATATAAGATATTTAAGAAAACAAAAAATTTATCATTTACACCTCCTCCGTGGTTGGTAAATTATTTATTGTATATCTCATGATCAGGATGGATGATTATTAGAGATACAGTTATTAATAAATCTGGCATCCAAAAAAATCTTGAATATCACACATTTTTAGATTTATTAGATAATATTGTACCAGCAACATTGGATATTT